CTCCTGTTGCCATAAAAGGAGGGTCTCGATATTATGTTTCTTTTATTGATGATCACACTCGTTATTGTTGGGTTTATTTAATGAAACATCGTTCTGAATTTTTTGAGATATACTTAGCCTTTCGTGCTCTTGTTAAAACTCAACATTCTGCTGTTATAAAATGTTTTAGGTGTGATTTGGGTGGGGAATACACTTCTAATAAATTTTGTGAGCTACTTGCTTTAGATGGAACTATTCACCAAACTTCGTGTACAGATACTCCTGAGCAAAATGGTGTTGCTGAAAGAAAACATAGGCACATTGTTGAAACTGCTCGTTCTCTCTTGTTGTCTGCATCTGTCCCTAGTGTGTTTTGGGGTGAAGCTGTTCTTACTGCTGTAGGTTTGATTAATACAATTCCGTCTTCTCATATTGCAGGATTTTCTCCTTTCGAAAAGTTGTATGGGTATACCCCTGATTATTCTCTCTTTAGAGTTTTTAGTTGTACTTGTTTCGTTCTTCGTCCTCATGTAGAACGCAACAAGTTGTCATCTCGATCAGTAATTTATGTTTTTCTTGGTTATGGTGAAGGTAAAAAGGGGTATCGTTGTTTTGATCCAATAACTCAGAAACTTTATGTGTCTCGTCATGTTGTTTTTCTCAAGCATATACTTTTCTTTTCTATTCCATCCACTACTCATAGTCTGACTATATCTGATTTTATTCGTATAAATCATTTTTCTGACAATCCTGATAGTTTGTCTTCTCAGGAGCCTACTACTTCAAATGTCCATTCTCATGTTCCTACCCCGTTGTCTTTACAACCAACTCGTACTAATCATTCCGCAGGTACTGACACTTTACTCTCCGGCACACCTGAAGCGTCCTCTTCTCTACGGTCCCTCAAGCTCCGTCTGAGATTGTGGATCCGCCTCTACGTCAATCCATACGCATTCGTAAGTCTGCAAAGTTACCAGATTTTGCTTATTCTTGTTATTCTTCATCATTTTCTACCTTTTTAGCTTCTATTCATTGTCTCTCTGAGCCCTCTTCCATAAAGAGGCAATTCTTGATCCTCTTTGGCAGCAAGCTATGGATGAGGAACTTTCTGCTTTGCATAAGACAGGTACTTGGGATTTGGTTCTTTTACCTTCTGGTAAGAGTGTTGTTGGTTGTCGTTGGGTATATAAGATCAAGACTAATTCCGATGGGCCAATTGAGCGATACAAAGCTAGGTTGGTTGCAAAGGGATACTCTCAACAGTATAATATGGACTATGAGGAGACATTTGCTCCTGTTGCAAAAATGACTACTATTCGTACTCTTATTGCAGTAGCTTCGGTTCGTCAGTGGCGTATCTCTCAACTTGATGTTAAAAATGTCTTCCTGAATGGAGATCTTCAAGAAGAGGTTTATATGGCACCCCCTCCTGGTGTTTCACATGATTCTGGGTATGTGTGCAAGCTCAAGAAAGCGTTGTATGGTCTTAAAAAAGCACCTCGTGCTTGGTTTGAAAAATTTTCTGTTGTGATCTCTTCCCTTAGATTTGTTTCTAGTAGTCATGATTCTGCTCTTTTTGTTAAGAGTACTGATGCAGGTCGTATCATTTTATCTTTATATGTTGATGACATGATTATTACTGGTGATGATATTGATAATATTTCAGTTTTGAAGACAGAGTTAGCTAGACAGTTTGAAATGAAAGATTTGGGTTCTCTACGATATTTCTTGGGTATTGAGGTAGCCTTCTCACCCAGAGGTTATCTTCTTTCTCAGTCGAAATATGTTGCAGATATTATTGAACAGGCAAGACTTACTGATAATAAGATTGTTGGTACTCCAATTGAGGTTAACGCGAAGTATTCTTCTTCTGACGGTTTACCTTTGTCAGATCCTACTTTATACCGTACTATTGTTGGGAGCTTGGTATATCTCACTATTACTCGTCCAGATATTGCATATGCTGTTCATATTGTTAGTCAGTTTGTTACTTCTCCCACTATAGTTCATTGGGCAATTGTTCTTCGCATTTTGCGATATCTTCGGGGTACAGTCTTTGAGAGTCTGTTACTTCCATCCACCTCCTCCTTGGAACTGCTTGCATACTCTGATGCTGATCATGGCAGTGATCCCACAGATCGCAAGTCTGTTACTGGTTTCTGTATCTTTTTGGGTGATTCTCTTATTTCTTGGAAAAGCAAGAAACAATCTATTGTTTCTCAATCTTCCACCGAAGCAGAATATCGTGCTATGGCATCTACTACTAAAGAGATTGTTTGGTTACTTGCAGATATGGGAGTTTTTCTTTCTCATCCCACTCCTATGTATTGTGACAACCAAAGTTCTATTCAGATTGCTCACAACTCGATTTTTCATGAACGAACTAAGCACATTGAGATCAATTGTCATCTTACTCGTCATCATCTCAAGCATGGCACAATTACTTTGCCCTTTGTTTTTTCTTCTTTGCAGCTTGCAGATTTTTTTACCAAGTCGCATTCTATTTCTCGATTTCGTTTTCTAGTTGGCAAACTCTCGATGCTTGTAGCTGCCGTATCGTGAGTTTGAGGGGAGATGTTAGAATTATTTATTATTTATTAAGGGTAGAATAGTCCTTTTTAGTTTTCTTTGTTTAGCCTATATATATTCTCTATGTATTTAGGTTAAACCATCTTTTAGCATTCAATTAATTAATGTAGTATCAATGAAACCCTAGCCTCCTCCTTTTTCTTCTTTATTTTTTTTGGATTGTTTAACAATAATCACTCAAACAATTGAAGAGATTCAAAGATAAAATCACATGGGCATGACACACACCATACTGATGAAAAAAATAGTCGAGCATGACAAGCAGCTGTTCCTCAAATTGAAAGTGATGCATTATTTCCTATCAAATCTCTAGGGAAATCGTTGTTTACTCAGTCTTTTTCACATCCAACTCACTTTATACAACTTATATCAGCAAATGGCTTGATCATCGAAATTCCAACGATTGTCAACCCCTTCACATGGCTTGAGAATCTTGATGCAACAAATTGTATCTTAATGTGCATGTAACATATAGGTCAGCCTAAACATGATATAAAATTTATTGACCACAAGATCCTATTGATTTTTGAGTTTAGACTTCAAATCGATGTACAACGGACATTTGAATGGATATCTTTGCCAAGCAACAACGAATTCGGAAATCTCGAAAGTAATGATTCCCACCAAGTCAGAAACTAAATGGTTCAGATTCCACATGACATTGATATCACATGTCGCATAGCGATATGTATGAATAATCCAATCCAATTAACAAATTTACAATCATAGCCAACCAAGTTAATTGTTCCAATTATTACTGAAAATAAGTTCGCGCCTTCGATTACTCACTAAAATTTAAAATGTCGAGTTTTGATCACTGAACTTAGATCTATATCTTCGATTGCTCACTAAAATTTAAAAAATGTCGAGTTTCGACCATTGAACTTTGAAAAATATTGTACGTTACTCACTAGAATAACTTTCATCTCAAATCTTTAATGGAATTGGTGACGTGACTGAAGAAATGCACACGTGGCGTCCCGTCACACCGTTAAATTTTGAAATGGTCAAATTTTGATCACTAAAGTTTGAAAAATGCCTTTTATCACTCACTGAATTTTGAGGTGGTCGAATTCTGGTCATTGAATTTTGAAAACGTCGAACTTTTGCTACTAAACTTTGAAAAACGTCTTCTAATAATCACTATGTATTTGGATTCAACCACACATCTATGTAATAAAATATTTTACACGCAAGTTCTAAATTTTTCTTAACTTTTTAATCACGCATTCTTCAAAAAATCATTACTTTTGGACCTTTTTTTTTTTTTTTAAATAATGGCCATCGGACAAGGCTAAAATTCGTTGTTAAAAAATTTTAAATTTAATTTAATTTTTACAATAAATATATTGTGTGTTTCATTGCAATTAGTTGTTACTTCATTTGCAAGCATTGTCTATACCACTAGGAATGATTACTCAATTGCACATTAGTTAAATTTAATTTTTTTTTAATTTGAAATTATTTTCATCATAATATTTAAATTTTATAACAAAACATTTGTTGTTAAATAAATTAAATTCAATTTTTAACGTCGAATTTTAATTAAATCCAAATTGATTGGGAGCCATAGGAGACTTTCAAAATTTTGTGGCAAAAACTCGACCATACTCACTAAACTTTGAGATGGTAGAATTGGCTACTGAACTTTTAAATAGTTGAATTTTGACCACTAAAATTCGAAATGGTTAAGTTTTTAGATAGTGATTTTATGGAAAATGTGTAACTAAAAAGTTAAGAAAAATTTTGAATTCATATGTAAAATATTTTATTGTATAGATATATGATTAAATTCAAACTTACATTAAGCAATAGAAGACGTTTTTCAAAGTTTAGTGATCAAAATTCGATGTTTTTAAAGTTCAATGACCAAAATTCAACCACCTCAAAGTTCAGTGAACAATAGAAGATATTTTTCAAATTTTAGTTGTTAAAATTTAAACATCTCAAAATTTAATGCTATGACGAGACACCACATGTGCATTCCTTCAACCGCCGCCAATTTGTTATACTAACACGTAACGTATAACACTTCTAAAGTTCACTAGTTAAAATTTAATATTTCAAATTTTAATGAGCAATCGAAAACATTAATCTAAGCTCAGAGACCATTGAAGCATTAACTCCAGCACACCGTATGACGCTCTTCGTCTTTCTTTTCAACAACTGTAGAAACACGCTACTGAACGTCCTTTAGGCTTTATCAGTTATCTTTTTGGTGCAGTCACCACAGCAGAAGAAAGGTAACACGACTGGGTTGTTAATTTGTACAAAAATGTACCACATTTGAAGAGGCCGGGCCCTGCACTTTCTCGTGTTCTGTATTTCTGTTGTCTCCCAAGAATCCACGTGTACTGTTCTTCGTACCTCAGTAACTGTAGGGCTCGATTCCTTTTCTATTTTTTTGTACTTTTTTGTGGTTTATCGTGGGATGAATTTGTAACCCTTTGATTTTCTTATTTTTGTTTGAAAAAAAAAACACTATCTTACATTACCAAGGGTCAAAAGTTAAACATCAGACTGTAATCCAGCAAATAAACACACATAACTGGACAAGAAAAGAAAGACCCCACACACATCGATTAATGCATATTCAAACTCAGAACCATCAATTCACTTGAATCTCCTTCACGTCCTTCTTTGGCCTGTCAATAATTCTTGGAAGAGTAATGTTAAGCACGCCATGTTTCATTTCTGCAGTTATTCCATCAACCTTTGCATCCTCAGGCAGAATCACACTGCTATCAAAGTAACCATAACTACTACTTGATGTCCAAGACTCATCATCAGATTCAGATCCTTGTTCCTTCTCTTCCTTGTGCTCTCCTTTGATTGTCAATATCCCATCCTCAACTGTAATCTTCAAATCCTCTTTGCTTAGTCCCGGCACCTCAAGCCTCGCTTTGTAGCGGTCGTCTTGCTCTTTAATCTTCATTCCTGGTGGTGGCAGATTTTCCAATACCCTATTGATATTCTCTGTTGCT